CTGCTGTAGCCCATCTGCCTCAAGGTTTGAAGTGTTGTGTGTTCATTGATGCTCTTCTGCATACCTCAGTTGTAACGAGTGGTTATATGAGTCACTGTTGCTAGAACTAGTCTGGCTATTCTCCTCTGACCTCTGGCATCAACAAGCCATTTGCGCCCACAGAACTGCCGTTCACTGGATATTTTCTCTTTTTCAGACCATTCTCTGTAAACCCTAGAGATGGTTGTGCGTGAAAATCCAAATAGATCAGCAGTTTCTGAAATACTCAGAACTTGTCCTTAGTTCAGTTCATAAAAAAAGCTTTCTGCAGTCATTAAAAGCGGGACAGTCCAGTAGAACATGACTAGACTTGAAAATAATGTAATTATTTAGCGATTTCCTTTTTAACAGGTTTCATAAAATTCACGCAAGAATTTGACTTCAAAGTGTTGTTTTGGTATCGCTCAGGAACAATCGTTGTTTTTGTTAACAGTTTGAGTTCTAATATTTATTTTTTTTTGTTTTAATTCTAAGTTTAGGTAAAGTTCCAGCAGTTTTCTGATAAGGAGAGTTTTGTTGTTATAATTTCTAGTTTTCAGTTTAATTAAAATAATCGTGAAAAAGGTTCAAATAAATGAAAACTTAAATGTTGAGCACAGAATGATCAAAGTATTCTTTACATTGATTACATTTCAATGTTATTTAATAAATTTTACACAATAGACGCAATGAAAGCAGGAGACGAGAATTGAAAACCCTCACCTGCTTTAGCCGTACATTACTGGTGACAATCTGATTAACTTCATCCTGTTAATAAGGGGGAAATAAAGACATTTATAAATTTACAATCAAAACTTTTGTAGTCAAACCAGTAAAATAGGGCTGCACGATATTGTAAAAATATAACATTACAATATTATTTTTCTGCAATACATATTGCGATATTTTCCCAGATATGGGTTGCGGCTGGAAGGGCATCCGCTGTGTAAAAACTTGCAGGATAAATTGGCGGTTCATTCCGCTGTGGCGACCCCGGATTAATAAAGGGACTAAGCCGACAAGAAAATGAATGAATGAATGAATATTGCGATATGAATACAATTACACCAGACGACCAGACTAGCTCAATTTGATAAGAATTAATTATTTTAGATTGATTGGGGTGATTTTGTAAGGGAGTGATTGATGTTTAAAATGTAATAAATAATCTACAAGCACAGATAAATAGATCAATAGAGCAAAATATATGAACAGAGCTTTGAGGAGTTCCAACAGTATTCACAGTAATTGAATAATCAAATGTAAAATAAAATTGCAGTCTTCATTGTATAAATAATTTAATGAAATTAAACATTATTAAAGTTACAAAAGGTACAATCCCCTGTAGCTGAATGTTTTTAAAGTTCTCATACAGTCACAGGCCTCAAAACACAAGCAAACACACACATTTTTTTTAAAAACTTTCGCTCTATAATAGTAAAACTACACAGTGACTTCACAATTCTCCTGTGTTTTGTACTGTGGCTCCTGCTCAACTATAATCCTGATTTAGCATTGCAGATCCTGCGATGTGACAATTGCAGATGCACATTGCGATATCGATGATAAACCAACATATTGTGCAGCCCTAAATAAACCTATTATATGAATTCAGGAAAAATACAGAAAGTCTAATTCACCACGCTGATCAGCTGAATGAGTTGCAGCCCCACAGTAACTACCACTGGATCCTTAAAATGGCTAACAGGACGAACAACCTTGTTATATCCGGTAAACAGAGTCTTTACTAATCTGGTCTCATCTTCTGAGCAGACTGCTGGTCCTGCAATACATGAACATTAGTTGCTTTGAAAACACACACACACACACACACACACACACACACACACACACACACACACACACACACACACACACACACACAATCATCCTAAACGTCACCACACAGGATTAAAGATGATGGAGTCAAGCAACTGCATGTGGCATAAACACACACACACACACACACAGGGATTAAAACACAAGGACACACGCTGACACTAAGACACAAACAGTCTATGTAATGTGACAGCAATACATTACATTATTATAAATGTTATACAAAATAATAGTGACTTTATTTTAACCAGAACTAATAAGGCAGAAATTTGTTTAGCTGTTTCTTTGGAGAAATACGTGATACATTATGGTAGGCTATGGGGAATACTGGTAATTTAATCAAGTAGCCTATATTTTGCAGGTCAGCTTAGTGGACTTGTACAGATAAAAAGTGACCAATCTACATAGCCTACATTACAGTCTTTTAGATACAGAGAAGATTGTTTAGGCCACAACTGGTGTCGGATTCATAGTATCACTTCGCCCTGCTTAAATACAGCTAATTTCAGCCTAAACTAAGAGATTAACAATAAAAGAAACTGAAATTGTAAATAGAGACGAGATTATTCGAGCGTTTGTCTGCAAATAGCACAAAACTGACCGCTGACACATTGATTTAATATGAAGCACAAACCACTTGAATGAGACCGGCAGGCCGCGCAGTTGCACCTGTCAGTCAAACAGGACGCATAGTATGCATACTACACACAGAGACAACTACAAACTGTATTTTAAAAAGCAAACTACATTTAAAGAGAGATAAGATTCATACATACATACATAGAATAAACGTTTAACTTAGATATAAACCCGCGTCCGTTTTCAACAAACGCTTAGGTAAAAGTACGAATATTTGCGTACATTATGCAAGTTACCGTTAACGTTAGCCTACTTGTCACTGATTTTAAGTAAACTGTTCTTCATTTGTGAAGCGTTTATTAATATATTGTCATTCAAAGATATTTTTGTCCCAGGAACAGAGCGGTTTCAGTGTAAAATAATTATAAAAGAAAACAAAATGGTTACTTACCGTAGAGGTAAGGCAAAATAGGCAAAATCAATATGAAGTAATTCATTTCTGTTGATATGACTGGGAAAAGTCCTTATAGCTGACTGAACGATTAGATAGTCAATACGAGCATGATTGGCGTCCTGACTTCTGCTGGAACTCTGTCAATATGAGTGAGAGAGAGAGATGAACTCGTGTGCCTCGTGTGGCAGTCAGCGCGAGACAAACATTGCTAGACTTAAAGTTAACCATTAAAAGTCTTTTGTGCTCAGGTTATCTAAACCTGTTATATCTTGCTAATGTATATATATATATATATATATATATATATATATATATATATATATATATATATATATATATATATAGTAAAAAGTCTTAACGACCCCGAGTATTATGTACTTTGCTTTAAAGTCATTGAATATTGTGCATTATATAATGTCGCCCCCTTACAGTTACGCCTAGTTACTGCTACAAATGTTCAGATAATACAGGATTCATAGAAGACATTTTTATCACTAAAATTCCACTTTTCCATGATTTTTCAAAGACTTTCAAGATTTTCATGACCTAATAATTCATGCAATGTCTACATATTCGTAAAAGAAAAACAACGCATGTTCAAATTTATTACAGCATATCGTAAAACACGCAACAATCTATATCCATGTAAAACTGATTTAGATAATGCTTATTCCGCACTAATCATGAGTGTATGTGATTGGCCAAGGACAGTAAAGACGTAACCTATATTCAAGTATACAGATATCTGTTTTACATGACTTTTCCATAACTTTGTTTTTGCAAAAAAAAGCAAAATATGAATAAAACAATTGCCCAATATTGCAATAATTAATTTAAACTACTTATAAAGGCCTATTACAGCTAATAAAATTAGCAATTAGATTGATTAATACCCGTTTGAATTAAAACAATTTATTAAAATTACTGAGCAAAAAACAATGCAGTGTAAGAAACACTTATAATATTCACCTTTTTTACAACTTTGAGTCATTTTGCAAGAATACATGCAATGCTTTAGCTGATGTTATTATAGGAAAGAAAAAAACAAGTATAATTTAGCCTTTATAGTAAAATATCAAAAATATAATTACATAATTCATTAATAAAGGATTTAGGGCAAATTGGCCTACTACAAGGGGTACGATGAATACACGATTGTAAAATACCTAAATATTTAAGCTCCCATTTTTAAATATAAGATGTCAAAACACTATCAATACAAAATTATTTCAATCAATTTACAAAGGTTTTAATTAAAAGATAAGTCAGAAACTCCATGTATATTACAAAAAAATTTAAATAACACCTACTTAAAGTATATGCAACTCAAAAATAACAACAACATGCTACTTGGAGTCTGTGTCAATTTCTTCTGTGTCAAGTTAATCATCTTTTTTTTTTATAAGGACCATTTTAGACACTTAACCAATGCAACTCGGTAACGAATTCATCAGATCAAATTTGCATTTCAGCCCATCTTATCCTACATTTATCACCTACAAGACCATATGAGGGAAAACTGGTTAACAAATGCATAAGATCTGAACCATTCTGTAAAAGATCACATTTATGTAAAATACAGCAGAAATCATCGCAGCATTAATATTGCAATTTGCAAATCTGCACAAGTTCCATCACAGGATCTACGATGTTGAGTTCATTCTTATTTTTTTGAAGGCCAGAGACTATGTAGATTAATCAAATTATAAAATCTACAGCTTTCACAAATATTTTAAATTATTACAATGGAAACTACAGTAGTGATATTTTACATTATTTTATATCTCAATTGTGTTTAAGAAAATCATTAAGCACACTTTAATTTGTATTTTTGCTCCATTGTATTCATTTATAATTAGCAATTTCCATATATTTTATGCAGACACACTCACTTATCAATGTAAAAATATGAATTCACAAAGAGTTATTTAAATCTTTTCAAAATCCAAACAGTCACAGAAAAAAAAATCAGTTTTTTCCCCCCATTATCGTGCAGCACTAAATTACACAATATAAACGTCAGATTTTTTTTTTTTTTAAACAATCCCAAATAACTTAAAATCACCCATGAATAACCATCCTCAATACACAAAAAGAGGCCATTCAAACATTTTAAATAGTGAAATACATGTATTTATTCTGTATTTGGATACATTTTTACAATACATGTCTTTTATCTTATCAGCCTTCAACAAAAACTTGGAAAAATGTACAATTTTAGTGACACCGACACAGAACGCTTTTGGTAGCCAGTGTAAAAACGCGTCGTCACAGCTGTGAGAGGAGGTGGACGGAGCAGTGTTTACATGGCAAACAGGATGAGGAAAGCCACCATCAAACAGAAGAGACCCATAGCCTCGGACAGGGCAAATCCCAAGATAGCATATGAGAACAACTGCTGCTTCAGAGATGGGTTCCTGCGAGAGACAGGGAGAGGTCAGGGGTCACTCGTTTACGTATTTAATGCTATGAGAAACTTATGGCTATTTCACAGCAAGATCAATGTACACAAAAACATTAACAACTTCATTTTATTAAGATACAAACAAATGTCAATCTAATACAATTCACAAAAACTGTCAATTAAAAATTACATATGATTTTTCAATTCAAAATTTGAAATTAAAATTCTTCCTGTTGATCAGGGGCCACTCATTCCCACATTATTGCTTAAGGTCACAGAAAACAGATGTGAGCTCCCAATACGCAATGCAGGACAGAGTTTGCTCAAGTTTAAAATATTTTGAACAGTACAATAACTGGATTACTATAATTACAGAGCTCTTAATTATAAAATATGAATAATAATAATAACAATAATAATAATGTTATAATTTCCAAAAAAAAAAAAAAATATATATATATATATATATATATATATATATATAAAGTACATATATATAAAGTACATAGAGGACTGCTTTGACTTGTGCTGGTTTATTAAATGAAGAAAAAAAAAAGTTAATTCTTAGAGACGTCGAGTTAAATGTTTAACAGAATAAAGACAAAGACTTGAGGGGGAGTAAATGTGAGATGTACACTCAAAAATGAACAACTATCAGTTGTGCATGTCTTAGGGCTGGGCAATAAGCCAAAAATGCAATCTCGATAATTATTTTCTATATTGAACGATAATGATATACATTGATACAAGCTGTTGATGCTTCCCCTTTTAAAAGATTATCCCAACCATGACTGAAGGCGGATACTGCTGGCAGGAAAGTGAAGTGCTAAACAATACTGGGTTATGCGGCATGGCCTATTTTCTGTGAATCTCTAATAACTTTAGAATCCTGTTGTTGTATACTGCTGCTGTGTGATTGGCTCTTAGGATCAAAATTGAGTAAAAATGTCCAGAGTTCTCATCAATATCAACCCAGCCCTAATTTGTCTAATGCAGGGGTCCCTAGAGAGCTTATTTTTTAGCTTTAACCCTTATTAAACACACCTAATCAAACTGCCCGAGTCCTTTAGGATGTTTGATACACATACAATTAAGTGTGGCTAAAACTTCAGTAGGGCTAAAACTAAACTCTGCAGAGCTGCGGGTCTCTAGGATCGGAGTTCAACACCCCTGGCAGAGGTTTTCCTACCATGGATGTAAATGGTTACTGGGTTTAATTTATCCAAAAATTCTTCCTTTGTGTTCAACAGAAAAGAGAAACTTAAAGACTTTTAACTTCTTGAGGATAAGTAAACGGTGGGAATTCTCATTTTTTGGTGAACTATTCCTTTAAAACGACTGCATTTGTCCCTCTAGGGCAGGGGTCACTAATCTCGTTCCTTAAGGTCCGGTGCCCTGCAGGGTTTAGCTCCAACTTGCCTCAACAGATCTGCCTGGGTGTTTCAAATATTCCTAGTAAGACCTTAATAAGCTTGTTCAGGTGTGTTTGATTAGAGTTGGAGCAAAAATCTGCAGGACACCGAACCTCCAGGAACAAGCTTGATCCCTGCTCTAGGGTTTCCTTTTAAAAACAAAAACTCTTCATTTCCTCAAGCATCCAATACTACTTTTTTATCATTATTATTATTTAGGAGTTTTCACCTTTATTATGATATAGGAAAGTGGTCATTTCATACAGGAAAGCATTAGGAGCAAAGAGAGGGGAATGATCGGCAAACGACCTTGAGCTGGGAATCGAACTCGGGTTGCTGGAAGCACTTCTATTTGTTGGTGCACAATACCACTAGACTTTTGGTGCTGACCACAAGCAACCAATACTTTATCAGACAATAGTGGAGAGAAAAGGTAGGGATCACGTCAGGTGTTCATGTTGTTTTAGTGTACCTGGCATATCCGATAATGAGACTGCCGAACACTGTTCCGATTCCAGCTCCTGAACCTGCCACTCCCACAGTGGCGGCTCCAGCACCAATGAACTTGGCGGCTGTGTCGATGTCACGGCTTATGGCGCTTGTCTGAAAGCCCCGAACTGCAACCTGGGAGCCGGCAGTCTGTGGCAGAAAGGCTGGGCTGGCCTTTAGAGAACAAAAAAAATTATAATAATATATATTAATTCACAAAATAAACCATAACTCTTTCTTGGACAAGTTTACAAAAGGAAGTGTCCATTAAAAAGGAGAAAAATTATTATTATTATTATTATTATTTTTTAGGAACAGTCCTGGCAAAAAGTGAACATTTGGGTTTTGCTCTCAAGAACTTTCAAACAAGTTTGGGTTACTTACCAATGAACAGTTTAATTTTGAAGAAAAATAGAAACCTGTAACCACTAACTTCCATAGTAAGAAAACCAAATATTATTGAAGTCAATGGTTACAGATTTCCAGCTCTCTTCAGAATATCTTTAATGTTGATCAACAGAAGTCAAACTGATCTGCACAAGTGAAAGGTCGAGTTAATGACATTTCAGTTTTGTGTGAACGATCTCTTTAAGGTGATCTACAGACCCGTCCCTACAGAGATTTCCCCCCTGATTTAAGCTCATTTTAATAGCTAGGCCTGTCAGTAATTAGTATATTGACTTAACGCGTTTTCCAGCCAGTTGGGAAGAATTAATCCAGTAGGATAAATCCCACAGCTCAGGTAATGGAACAAAAGACTACAAGTTCACAGTTAGTGCAACGCACTGTAACTCCATTAAACGCCATTTAAAGTCTGTATGAACTGAGCAAATAGTGGTGCACTTGAAACATTAAACAGAGGTCAGGTTATTTCATTGCTAGCAAACTACTGGATAAAGAAAAGTGCTTATTGAGTTCCTGGCCAAGCAGTCAAGCTAATATAATGGTTAAAAGAGGATACACTTTGTGGAATAACTTGGAGATGGTTTAATTGTTCGCATGAAAAGCAATTTGTGGCAGTTGCCAATTTTGATCGTATTGCTTAGACTCTTCTATGATATTTGCATCAAAATATGAAGTTTCAAATAATGTCTGCAGATGGCAGAAGCAATTATTTCCATACAAGTAAATTTGTCCAATTGGAACTGTAATTGATTACCATACCAGTCTCATAACAAGCAAGCGGTTAAAACTTATGAAACATGTGCTTTACTTAATATTCTACATTAATTAGTATAATTTTTTATACACCCTCCGTCTTTATTATTTATTACTTTGTTTCTTTTTCTCTCATTGTCCTTTCTGCTTTAGCATTGTTATACTTCTTTAAAATGGTCATATTTCTCTTGTTGCAAAAAAGTAATATCTGTATTGTTAGCATTATACTTCTGTCAGTCGTATTTTCATTGTAATTGCCTGTTATTATTGCAAAAAAGTACATGTCCATTTACATTTATTTTCAAACATGTCAAAAAAAAGTCAACTTTACATTTGGTACTGTCAAACCCGTTTTGTGCATTTTATTTTATTTATTCAAGGTGTTTGATAGTTCAATTTTGTTGAACCTTGTAAAAATTGTCAACTCTGTACTACCTATTAAAATCCTTTTAAACTAAAATTGTCACCAAAAAAAAAAAACTCTTAGGAGCTTAGCTTTTTATTCCAATGGAAAACAATTGGTAAGATACATAAATGCCCATTTACAGCAGCAAATAAGTATCAGATATGGCCTTGGCGAATACGTTTAGCACTCACCTCTGCAGAGCTGACATCTGGCCTGGAGAGCACAGACGCAGAGAGTGGTCTGTACAGCGCCCTTGAACCAGAGCGGACCTGAGACACAGATCAAAGTGACATTAGTGCACAAGACATGCCAATACACTGATTACTGTAGTTAAGACTGACACACACCAAACTGTTGCTTCAGTAACTGAGTGAAGAGGTAGCAGAAGAAAACCACTCATTTTAGATTTGCCACAATTAAGAGATTACAATGAATAGTAATCAATTGGTCAATTTCAAGATCAATTGAATAAAGCATTAAACTTCAATAAAAAGGGTTTGTTGAAGCAAGTTCAGTGACAGCAGCAACAAATCATGCTACAGCTTTAATTAACCAGCAGCAATGACTAGCAATGTCACACTTCAGCTTTAATATAGCATATTTCAATGAGTTGTGCTTTAATTTCACATTTCAGCTAACTATTAAGCACCAAGGCTTGCTGTCAGATTACTATAATGACCTTGACTTCCCGGGAATAGCCTTTCAGGTGATAGCATTAGCAACACAACAGCTAGCCGTTGACATCTTAACCGCAATGACATGCAAACAAATGAATCCTGCAGCAGCAGCTTTTGATTTGGACGGAGATGACGGACTTAACACGCGCTGCATGGTAAAAGTCCAGTGCTGCAGGCCTCCTGCATTATAATAAGGATTTGATATTGATAATTCGGTTTTGATATTGAGTTACTGCAAAACTCATACTCACCAGTGCGGGTGTGGACACGAACTTTGCACAGGCGTACATGATTTTGGTAGAGCTCGCTGACTGTGGTGAGGAATAAACCCGCGTCTGTCTCTGTGGGAAAAGCCGACAGTTTAAGGTCAACGCAATATCAGAGCTTTCAAATCGCGACTACACAACAAATAGTTGCGTTTACAAGGAGATTATAATCTTTAGTGTATAAAACAGAGTAAATGTGATGAATAAATGCGGCTAAATCGCAATGATGGGATAAGATTGTAGTAATTTAGCTTCGCCGGTCTCGGTTTAGCTCTCCTTCACTTACCCGGCTGCAGAGGTCGAACCGCTGAGGAGCTACTGCGCATGCCCGACCCTCTATTTAATCAGGCACCCGGATGCACGCATGACGTGTTTGAAGGTCATTCAATGGTGCTTTATTTAAAACTGCATTGAGGGGGAAAAAAAAAAAAATATATATATATATATATATATATATATTAAACTAATTTATATATATATATAAACTAATATATAATATATATATTTAAATTAGTTTAATTTCGAGATCACCAAGCAGTAGTTTTAAAAGGGGTAGTTCACCAAAAAAATAAACTCTGTCATCTTTTAGCTAGCCTATTTACCCTTCACTTATCCCTATTTGAGTTTCTTTAGTTTTCTGTTTTCATTCATAAATTTTCTTAGGCTTAGTCCTTTTATTCACCTGGGGTTGCCACAGCAGAATTAACCGCCAACTATTCCTATTCACATTTATACACTACGGCCAATTTAGTTTAATCAAAAGCCTATTTGTGAGAGGGGTCTGGATGCAGACCTGATGCAATCTAAGCTGCATCCAATGCTTTTTAATGCGCTCACCTAACCCCACCCCTAACCCTACCTGTCACAGTGACGTCACTCACTCCATTGAGTGCATTGTGTCTGACACTGCATCGCTGAGTGATGCAATCTCAGCTTGCATCATGAAGGCTGCATCCAGATACTATTGCTATTTGTTTGTCCTACTATGGATGTCAATAGTGACCGGCTTTGTCTTTAGTGCTCATCAGAGTAAACAAACTCAAAACTTTGAAACCCCCTGAGGGTGAGTGAATAGTGAGTACATTTTCATTTTGGATGCTTTATCCTTTTAATCCACATTTCATGTGTTACTTTCTAAAGCACAGTAAAATAAATAAATAAAATGAGAGAGAGAGTTAACTTGATTTAAGTTATATGTAAATTAATAAAAATATTTTAAAAATATTTAGGGCGACGCAGTGGTGCAGTGGGTAGCACGTTCGCCTCACAGCAAGAAGGTCGCTAGGTCGTTGGTTCAATCCTCGGCTCAGTTGGCGTTTCTGTGTGGAGTTTGCATGTTCTCCCTGCGTTCGCATGGGTTTCCTCTGGGTACTTCGGTTTCCCCCACAGTCCAAAGACATGCGGTACAGGTGAATTGGGTTGGCTAAATTGTCCGTAGTATATGAGTGTGTGTATGTGTGGATGTTTCCCAGAGATGGGTTGCGGCTGGAAGGGCATCCGCTGCGTAAAAACTTGCTGGATAATTGGCGGTTCATTCCGCTGTGGCGACCCCAGAATAATACAGGGACTGAGCTGACAAGAAAATGAATGAATGTAAATATTTATAATATTATATATAATATATATAATTTACAATATAATAATATTGATTAACTTGTAATTTTAAAGCCATTATAATATCATTTGACAATTCAAACCTATTTGGGTATATAGTATATAAATAAGTCAGTCACTCACCCTCCTTCGGTTTAGACCCTGATTTATCATGGGTCAGCACAGTGGAATAAACCACCAACTGTAATTCATATAAATCAAATTATTAACAACAAAAGACAATTTTGACTAAAAATGCTTTTAATGTAAAACACATTTAATTGGAGCAAATAAAAAGATGCATAGAGGACTGACTGGCTTTGCTAAATTTAAATATGCATGTATATTCCTTCACTCACTGCTGATTGGTCCAGTTTGGGTATTTTCTCTTAACTCAGAATAAAACCTGCTCTGAAATGTAGATTTCAAGGCAACAAAACCCAAACCACCTTTTTTTTGAGCCCAAAACTGATTTTGATTGAACTTAACCCAACCTTGCCTGGGTAAAAACCCAATACCGGCATTAGATAACATGCCTTCACTTATTTTCCCCTTCGGCTTAGTCCCTTTATTCATCAGGGGATGCCATTGTGGAATGAACCGCCAACTTTTCCAGTATATGTTTTATGCGCAGATGCCCTTCCAGCTGCAACCCTGTACTGGGAAACATCCATTCACTCTCATTCCTACACAGAGGGTTTCTGCAGGTTTCAGCAAGACTTTTTTTAAAGACCATTGTAAATGTAATTCTAGACTCATAAAAGGCTATAGGCTAAGGAATTTTTCAACTGGCTTATATGGAAAAGATTTTTATTTGCCCTATCAAAAATAAATTTAATAGATTTAATAAAACAATAATAAACGAATATTTAAAAATGTAAATGTTTTAGATATTTCTTAGTGAAATATTTTAGATATTGTGTAATTTTGTGAACTTTTTTTCAACATAAATTATCTTTAAAATAAACAAATGTTTTAAAAGTTTTAAAAAGTATAATAGTATAAATCTATGCACAACAATCTGTCCAGGTCGGTGTCCTCAGCAGTAAATACATGGAGCACTTTTAAACTAATGTTATTGTCAGGAAAATAATTAAACCATTATGAGGATAAATACAGTTAAAATGTTTAAAGATTTACATGAACAAAGGAAAATTAAGACAATATTTTAGTCAATTTAAGACTTTTTAAGGCCTAAAAATTTTGACTTTGGAATTTAAGACATTTTAAGACTGCACAAATACACTTCAGCTAACTTAGTTTATTCAAGTCACCTATAGCGCATGTCTTTTGGACTGTGGGGGAAACCGGAGCACCCGGAGGAAACCTACGCCAACAGAAGGAGAACATGCAAAATTCACACAGAAATGCCAACTGGCCCAGCCAGGACTCGAACCAGCGACCTTCTTGCTGTGAGGCGACAGTGCTAACCACTAAGCCATCGTGTTGCCCCAGGCCTCTATTTTACTACTCATTTCATTACAACATTTAAAGAATCATGTTTTAGAAAATGAACCTTTATTGGCATCATACAGTCTGTAATGCAGCAGACGTGCACAGCAACTTGCAAGTACGTAAAAACAAGAACAATTGAATAATTCTGGCTTCAAAGCTTAAACATTTTGTGTTGCTATTCAGACAAAATCAAAGAAATAACTATGATGCTAAAAAACTATGATGCTATGATGTTTTTTGTTTTTTTTTTTTGTTCATGAACAAAATCCAGGTTGAATCCTGCTGACAAATAAAGCGTAAACATCAACAAAGAAAACATCTTATGAACAACAACCAGTTATTTTGACAGATTTTGTAAACTGTGCATTAAGTTCCAGACATATTCCTAACCAGAAAGGCACAAGACAGTTGAATTACACAAATAAGCACAATGTAAAAAGATATTAGTTTACTTAAAAAAAGTGAGTAAACATACTGCTTTTAAAGCAATTAGGTGACTTTACTTTAAAAGGTGAGTAAATCCATTGCGATAAAGGTGTTAATTAAACAATATATGCGCAAAATTATAAAATTAAGTCAACTTAACATCTCCAAGTTACAACTGTTTACTTACTTTTTAAGTAAAGTCAACTTGTTGCATTTAAAACTAAAGGTTTACTCACTAAAAGTAACCAATTGCTGTGTAACTAACTATTGGCCACAAAAATAACAATCATTTAAACCTAAAATAAATATTTAAGAATCAAAATAGTGCATTTGACAAAAAAAAAAAAAAAAAACAAGTCTGGCAACAAAGAGTGTATTTTTGTTCAGGTTGCACTTTCAAATAACCCTGTAAACACAAAGATAGCTAAACTTATCCTGCTACAAGTTTTATCCTTATTTACTATTAAATAATTCCTCTTAACACTGCAAAAACATACTATAAAACAGGAGTTTGTTTTGTTAAATCACCTTCATACACAAAACATGCGCGGGTAATGTGGTCATCACCAATCACCACACCGCTTCGATTACTGTACTGTGGGTTATGACACTCAGCCCATTATGTAAACCTTGTAGTGCATATATAAATAAATTAGCAGTAAAAACGTACAACGGCCTCCAGAGCTCAAAAGATGTACTAAATTAACATGCACTAGAGTGAAGAAGCTCAAACCCCAGAAAAAGCTCCTGTTCACACGGTTTAGTTTGATTCATCCTCTTTCTTTTGTTCCTCCAGGGCTTCAGCCTCTTCACGCGGGACGTCCTGAGGCTGTGACTCTTCAGTTTCTGATTCCTGCAGGACAGGCGCCTCATCGGCTGCTGGGTTCTGAGGGTCAGCTGATGTAGTTCTTTCCATGTCGTCTGATAAAATGAAATGATGAAATACAATTATTTAAATTCACTCCTAAATGTTGAGGCTAACTGAGTACGTTAGACCTGTTAATGCATCATTTGTGGTGATGTTCACTCAGCATGTTTAAAAGGAGCACAACATGCATTATCAAGACTGTAAAGCAGGCGATTGTTAATTAAAAGTAAAAAATTGTAATCAACGAACCAGGCAATAACACTTTTAAAATGTTATCAGATCATATTCAGCATTTTAGACATTCGGTAGACAATCATCTGACCATATTGTTGGAATTAATCATTAATACTGCATATATAATAGGGCTGCATGATATTGGAAAAATCCGACATTGCGATATTTTGTTTTTATGCAATATATACGTATATTTATACAGCAGTTCTGTCTGGTTCTTGAATCTGATTGGCTGATATTATATATTCTGCAAATTACAGCACTCGTCCAGGCTCTTAACCCTTCACTCTTGTGTATTACTTCACCCACATACAGCGAAAACAGGAGGACACTCTACAGTTTGACAAATATTGCTGCTGTTGGACAACATCATGTACTTTTAAAGCTTTTTCAGTCGAGAATGTAGTTGTTAAGATTGCAGCTTTGCAGTTTATTTATAAGGATAGTGCCTGTTTTAAAATAATTATAATTTCTGAGAGACATCTTTGAGCAGAGCAAAGACGGTTGACGTTGTTCATCCACAAGACGATGACAGATACCACATAATAAGCCCTTTGAAGAGAAAAACAGCGTAATTTCTAACTAAAGCTGATCAAATCCTTATTAAACAGAAAAATGACATTCTAAGGGGCCAATCAAACTGAAGGAAAATCGAAAACCGATTTTCCGTTCTAAAAACATGAGGCACACCGCACTGCTTTTTTAGTTGACAGGAAAAAAGATGCATGGTGCACCTTTTATGTCGCTAAGCAACAAATGAATTAGCTGAGTATTGTGCAAAAGTGTTGCTGTTGATATTGGTATCATCCACGAGTCTCTCCTCCATCTTCAAAAGTCTCCGTAGTCATCTTGACAACACAAACACTGCAGTCACCACAACGGAAACCCCGCCTCTGCTTTCATTTGATTGGAGAATGAAAGACGCGACTGACGTAACGTGCTTTTTTCGCTCAGAGTTGACTTTTTTCAACTGCAAGCTCACAGAGCACAACGGCAAAAACACAAGGCGCAGCAGGCGGATAAAACGCTTTAAAATGCTTTGGCTTTTTCTGGGTTAATTATTGTGATCTCCCGATTGCAACAGAGAAATACTGGGAGATATCTCTGTAGACTAATGGCATTTCATGCCGTTCAGCCTTAAAACCTAAAAATGTGAGCAAAGTCAGCTGTTTTGTCATCACTTTAGACATTACGCTAAAGAATCGTTCAAATACTACCTTTAAAGTGACTATGGTGAATTAATAACTGTTTCCGCTTTTCTGACGCCAGCTTTTCTTTTTTATATACACGATGCCGTCGAACTGTTGTATAAACACACCATCACACTCGTAGCAGTGCGATGTGGCTGTACATCATTACTGGTGGGACACTAAGGCAAGTGCACTCCCACCAGTGCCGATATACAGCCAAATCGCACTGCTACTCATGTATTGCTCATATATATATTCACTGTAAAAATAAGTTGACAACTCTAATTGTAAGGCAACTTGCTGCAACTTCTAACCCAAGTACACTATAAAAAATCCTGGTTGGCTTAAATTTTTACGCTGAATAAAATTAACCTTTTGAGTCTATTGAACTTATATTATTTTAAACTGCCTTAAAACAGCTTGTGTAACTTATAAAATTAGGTTAGAAGATGATTAACTTAATTTAATAAGTTACAATGACCTAAAAACATTTGCTGCCAGGACTAATTGTACATATAATTTTTTTACAGTGTACTGCACTTGACTCAGTTTAAGTTGATTAAACTCAAAAATGGCCTGAAGCTGGTTGCCTTAAAAATTTAAGTTGAGTCAACTTTCTTTTGTTTTTACAGTGTTACGATATGGCTTGAATAGCTCTGTTTGAAAGGAAACCATTAATTTAAATTGACTGGGGTGATTTATAAGCGTGTGAATAAAGTATAAGAAATTATAAACTAATAGTAAACAAAAATAATTACAATAGAGCAAAGAAAAAGTAAAATAAGTAATAATAAACAGTTAAAATATGTATTCGGGTACAGAAATGGAACAATTAAATGTCAAATGAAAAACAACACTGTGTAGTTGTTCTTGTGTTAATATTTCATTATAACATTTCATATTAATTCTTTTCATTCAAGTTACTAATGTTGTACTTTTTGTAACCGGATGCTCTTGAAATGCCTTTTGAACACATGCAAATGGTAAACTTTCACTTTGTTATGGTTATAATTTGGTGGTGCTGATCAATAATAATCCCAACTCAACATTGCATATCCTGTGATGTGACTATTGCGGACACACACATTGCAATATTGATGCCGAAACAATATATTGCAGCCCTATAATTGCAACACAAACTATGTCCATAAAAGTGGAATGTCAAAAATGCAGAAAACTCCCATAAAGGCAATTACAAGATCAGACATGACAGATTAAATATATATTAAAAGATATTTTAAATACAGACAAACACACACACACACACACACACACACACAAACACACACTTTCCCGTCTTGTAATGGTGATTACTGTGTTGCATGATTTTGTGTATGAGACTTGAGTCTGAGAATTGGAAAGGACTGTGGCCATGATTTTTTTTACCCATAGTACCCAAAGAGTCAAGAATTTCAGCATCATGCAGTGTGTACACTACAGTTCAAAAGTTTGGGGTCAATACATTTTAAGGAGAACCAAATAATGGTTCTATTAAGTAAATAATGGTGTTGAGAAGATATGTTGGCTGCTTGATGATGTAAATCTTCCATTCTACCATATCCTATATGTTTGAGAATTCAGATTGAGATGATTTGAGCTTTATGATGGGGTGCGTAATCCTTCTGGAAGTACAGTAGTCTTCACGCTGTGGTCATAAAAGGATGGATACGGTCAGCAACGATACTCCAGTGCTTCCCAACCCTGTTCCTGGAGGCACACCAACGGATATTTTGAATGTCTCTCTTTTCTGACCCATTCATTTCAGGTTTTGGAGTCTTTTCAAATGTTCTGAGTTGATTCAGGTTTGTTGACTAGGAAGAGATTGAAAATGTGTACTGTTGGTGTGACTTCAGGAACAGGGTTGGAAAACATTGCTCTTGTAGACTGGGGTGGTTAAATGAGGACAAAAATTATACACTAATATGTATCATTTTCACAATAATAGTATATCCGATACACGATAAATATGAGAGATGCAATAAGTTATTTATTTTATGTGTATCTGCATATACTGTACAAATCTGACCAATCAGATAGGGTTTTACTTTATACCCGCCTCCCAAGTAAGTGCAATTATGCTATTACTAAATACAAATTTGTAGTGGGAGTAGAGATGAGTGAGGAAAATGAGAACAACGAATAAGAATAAGATCAGAATATCTGCTGTTGTTTTTTTTAACTGCAATTTGATTTAATTAGATTTGAAAAAAATATCCACTACCTTTTTACTTTAGTGTGATCGTTATATAAATAAAATATATGTTTAAAAACAGTAAATAAAATTAGCAATTCTTAAAGGAAATGTTTTATCACAAGAAATACGGTTCTCATAACTCTCAACAACAATAATGCATATTTTCCCCTATTTTTATAGAGCCCTAATTCACACCATTACACTATACAGTGCAGGAAGGATCAACACTTTCATATTGTTTTTGTCAAATTCTGATCAAACCATCTAATTTCGTAGCAGAAATCAAAACACATGAGACCAGGCAACAATTATATACTTTTGTTGAGTGTCTGCGAATTTTAGCCTTTGTTCTGTTCTTATCTGACAGGAATGGGTTTTCTCCCTGGTGCTCTTCTTCTGCTGCTGTAGCTCATCTGCTTCAAGGTTTAATGTGTTGCGTGTTCATTCTGCAGTCCTGCAGTGTAACAAGTGGTATTTTTGTGCTTTTCATTTAGCTTAAACCAGCCTGGCCATTCTCCTCTGACCTTTGGCAATACCAGGGCATTTTTTGTCACAAAGAACTGCTGCTCACAGAATTTTTTATATATTTTTTGTGCCATTCTCTGTAAACTTTCATGAAATGGCTGTGCATTAAAATCACAGTAGATTAACAGTTTCTGAACTAAACCAGTTTGTCTGGCACTAATAAACAAACCATGTTAAAAATAGATCAATAAAAACAATAAATCACTTTTTCTTAGTATTCTCTCGTTGAATTTCAGATTGTCTTGACTATGTCTACATGATCAAATTTCTCAGGCTATTTTTGTTTTTGTTTGTTATAGTGAACATGTATAAGTGAACATATAACTGAACAAGTCTATATAAATGGCTGATTAATAATACTACACTTTTTTAGATTTACAGTAGGGCTGCACAATACTTGGAAAATATGCAATATTGTTGTTGAGTGTTGCAATAACAAAAATTCCCACAAAATAACTAACTTGAAAAATGCTACTTTAGCAGCAATTAAAAAAAAAAAAAATAAATCATATATATATATATATATATATATATATATATATATATATATATATATATATATATATATATATATGTGTGTGTGTGTGTGTGTGTGTGTGTGTGTGTGTGTATACATTACTTATGTTATAATAACACTTAAACAAACAGGTAATACATATTTTTAATCATATTTAAAAAACGATGTAACATTTTGACTTTAAAACACCACGAATGGCTGAAAACCTCACCGGAAACTCATACTCTTTTTGGCCGTTGTTATTTTCCTGTCTTTATTTTCAGCTCTATGTTCCCCTAAAATTACCTACTGGAGAGGCGGGGTTAAAGATAGTAAAGGCCCCATCTGATTGGCATAAACAACCAATGCATTTATCACACAAATGCTTGGCACTTAAAATTAACTCAATTTATAGCACTTTCCTGCGATATAGATCCTTCAAGTACTATTATCACAATCATTTTTCGATATATTGCGCAGCTGAATGTCTGTTTTTTATGCTTCTATTCATAAAAGGATCCTAAAATATGCTAAATGAATATAACAGTTATTTTACATCATTATTACATTACGATTTTATTGTCTTTTTATTCAAATAAATGTAGCCTTTTCTGAGTACAAGGGCGCACTCACACTCTGCTATCCGAACCATGCCCAGGCCCATTTCCCGGATAAGTTGAGAAGCGGGCGGGCTCAGGCACAGTTCAGTTGGCCAGCCCTGGCCCGATTGGAGGAGGTGTGCCAGAGCACGGTTCACCTGGGCTTTGGCGCAGCACGCTCAAAGCGCGCTTAAGCCTGAAACTGAAGATGAAATGTGACTTTTAAGGGACTGTTTCATTTGGATTTATTAATCATTCTTACTGTTCAATGAAAACAAAGTTTATTAGTTCATTAAAGACGCAAACCCCTCACTGAACGACAGCTGCACCTTCAGCAAACCTCCTAATTACTGCAGCACAAGGACATTATGGTTGTTTATGAGTGTCAAAAGTGGCGGAAATATTTGACTGTGCCACTGCATATAAAACGACTAAAATTATAAAACATTTATATATATATATACACACATTTAAATATTATTTTTTAAATCTTGATGACCCCAAACCTTTCAATGGTAGTGTATGTGTAAGTAGTGTGTGTCTGTGAGTCGGTTCTGGGACCTGTGTGAATTCTCTCGAAACTATGAACTTTACTCCAGGGGGTGCCAGAGTGAGAAACACGAGTGGAGCGAGCCGAGACAATACGGTCTAAAAAAAAACACATTGATAAAAACAGAAAAACAACACTCACACATAACACAAGCAAACGAATGATGAATGTAAATGACTTCTTCAAAACTGCAACATTGTTTGCGCTCCTCGTCTCCTCTGGGAGGCTTTACTCTGTGCAGTTTTGGACAGATGGCGTGATGACTTTTTAAAATGATTTTGATTATGATGTCACTGACTGTCAGACACTTGAAATACCTTCAGGGGCGTCGCTGTCCTCCGGTGTCTCTGTGGCGGCAGAAGATTGCGTTTCAGGAGATTCAGAGCGCAGCCTGCGCTCAAAACTGAATTCTGGGAGCCTGGGGGCCTGGGGACGTGTTTTTCTCGCAGGGTTCATGAAGTAGCAATAAGCACAACGGAAAGCTGTAACAAAAACCTCACGTGAACATACAGTCATGTGAATTATTTAGGATACCCTAATGAATACAATAGTTTTTCATATCAGGACATGATAAAAATCTGTATGGTCAATGGCAGGTCTTTGGACAAATTGGAAGATAAAACTGCTGATGAAGAACATCACATGATATCTCGTACCGTGTCATTATTCATTTAACAAAAATAAAGCAAGAATAGAAAAGCCATGGGCGACAAACTTAAACCTATGGTTCAGAAGCATGCAAAATTATAATAATTCCCAACATTTATAGTGCTTTACTGGACACTCAAAGAGCTTTACACATGGGAGGAATCTCCTCATTCACCTGGATGACGTAACAGCAGCCATATTGCACCACCAATACACTTTTCGAAGGACATCCTGGGATTTTTAACAACCACAGAAGGTCAGGACCTTGGTTGAACATCTCATCTGTAAGACGGTGCTCACTTAGCAGTATAGAGTCCCCTTCACTATACTGGGGCATTAAGGGCCTATTCACGCTATGCCATTCGTACTGTGCCAAGGCCCGTTTCCCGGATCGTTTGAGAAGTGTGAGTGCGCTGAATCGGGCTCAAGCACTGTTCACTTGGCCGGCCCTGGCTCGGTTGGAAGAGGTGTGCCTGAGCGCGGTTCACTTGGGCTTTGGCACGGTACGCTTGTGTGTGAGTGCAAAACGCGCCAAAGCCCGAAACCGAAAGCGAGACGTGACTTTTACGTGGCTGTTTCATATGGATTTATTAATCATTCTTACTGTTCAGTGAACGCAAACTGCCGTAGTTTATTAAAGACAAAAACCCCTCACTGCACGACAGCTGCGCGGCTTCAGCAGACCTCCTTATTCCTGCAGCACGAGAGCTTTATGATTGTTTTTGAGCACCAAAAGTGGCGGATCTGTTCGGCGAAATATCTGACTGCGTGTCACCGCATCTCTAAGGACTGTTTGGTGAAATATTTGACTGCATGTCACTGCATAACAAACCACTGAAATGATATAACTAGAGAAATCTCCACTGTGCTGCTGAGTGAGAGAGCGCTTCTCACTGAACAGTGCAGCATCGATGACGTAAGCGTGCCGAGGCCCATTTGTGGTGTGAGCGCGGGCCGTCGGGGGAGACGGGAGGGGGGACAAGCATGCTTTGGCCCGGTTCGAGGCAACTGTACCTAGTGTGAGTACGGCCTAAGACCCTACGCAGAGCACAGGTTGAGCACCCCCCTGCTGCCCTCACTAACACCACTTCGGCAGCAACATAAACAAAATAAAACATAAAATAAAAGTACTAGTATCTTGTAGTAATTAGATAAAGAAATTATTTTCTGAGTGTTTTTGGCAGTTTTTGCCACAGCATATGTGTTTACATGCACACGCACCTGAAGGCTTCTGACCAACGTTGTGCTAAAACTTGAGCTGATGATCATTTAAAGGTGCTGTGTTTGAGTTTTTGATTCTTCTAAAGCATAAAAATACCATAAAATGTTTGCAGAATTTTAAGAACATTCTTGTTTATCTGAAAAGCAATGCTGAAGTCAGATATTCTGCTTTGAAAATGGGTCTGCTGTGCCGGAACGCTGTCTTTGTTTTGGTTCTTTTAACCCGCCCACTGCCAGTGTAGCCAATTACATTTCAGCAAGCCATTCAGAAGCACAGAATATGCACTCACTCATAAAATGGTGAGGTTTACAATCTAATTAATACACATTAAACCTCTTTGACATAATTAAATGTACATGCTGAATCACTGATATGTGTTGGTTTGCACTGAGTCACAGTTTTAAAGTTTAATTTTCAAGATCTGAAGTAAACTATCTGCTGCTGCTTTCAGTATATGGCACAAATGTCATGTAAAATGGCATTCAAACTCACATTTAACACTGAATAAAGCACATGAGGTGTACCTGAGGTGATCATTGTCAGTTTTCTGTTGTTCAGCTGCAAGAAATAGAAACCGTTTCTAATATATTATAAATATTCCTATTATAAATATTCCTTTGCGTGCCATTGCCTTTCATACAGAACACAATTTATATCAGCCTTTGGGCTTGATCGTCAAACTGGGGTTTCGGTCCTCAATCTGGCAAACTGCGCTTGCATTTGTTTTAATCCAGGACTGCAATACCTAATTCAACCACTGGGTTTCAAACTTACATACTGCACCTTTAAGACATTTAATGGGCAGCTCCTGGCGTATTTTTGTCAATGTAGTATGTTTTGTCAATGTTGGTCATCTAAGGTTATATTATCCAAATTTTAAGACCTGTCAATGATTTTTTTTATGTCCTGATAAGGAAAATTGGAATTTCATATAGTGTCCTAACTTTTTCACTACTGTATATACACACAGTTTAATGCATCATCCTGTGAAATTTTATTCCTTTTTTTTTTTTTTTTTTACATATTTCCTGTTATGTTTAACAGAGCATGGATGTTTTCACAATATTTCCTAAAATAATTTTTATTTTTATGTCTTATTTTTTAATTTTTGCTGGAATAAAAGCAGATTTTAAATTTTTTAAACATATTTTAAGGTCAATATTCTTTGATAGGCTAAAGAATGATCCACTGTTGTCCAATGACCTGCATAATTGCTAACTTTACTAACAGTAAACTTTAAGTACTAACTTGACTAACAGTAATTTTCCTAGTTAACCTAATTATGCCTTTAAATTGCACTTTAAGCTGAATATTAGCATCTTGCAAAATAAGTAGTAAAATATTATTAAATTATATTAAATTAGTAATTAAAATTGTTTAAAAATGTGTTGACAAAAATCCTCAGCACAAAAAAAAATTCATACATCTGCAAGAAACAAAAAAACTTCATAATGTGTTCTGACAGACTCTTACCTACAAACTCAAATTCCTCCTTCAAAGCCATACCGTTGTGGGAAAAACACTGCTGGCAAATCAACGCATATCTGAAAGCAAGAAGATAAAGACCAATCATTCTCACGTCACCTGACAGAATTTAGCCTTCTCTTGAATATTATACTGGTTTAATACCTGTTTTGAGGTCCATCTCCCACCAGATACTCAATGACTCTGTCCACAGCGCCACGCTCTCGTGGAAGGATGGGTCGAGCGAGAGGTGGGCCAGGGGGACGCATACCTGTAATAATCAATTGATATCACAAATTCTGAAATTACAATAACATATATTGCATGCAGTGATTTTTCAGAAATGTGACATTATTTTTTCTTTAAGGGGTGATTTTTTTTCTCCCCGCGAGTGACGTGAAGGAGCATTTTAACCATTGTAAATGCAATTTTATAATTATTAATATTAAATAACTGCATCTGTGTTATCATTCATGTCAAATGCTTAAATTTAATAACTAATGATTTTAATCATTCAGATTTACTGTTAAAGCTTATATTAAAGAAAGAGGTACCAATGGCACTTAATGAAATTTAGGGTTGCAATATCAATACAGAAAAATTTTGTACAATATTATTACGAAAACATTAATATTATTACAGAAAAAAATGTAGAATTACATCAGTAAGTCCACATTGTATTGACTAATATAAACGCATCTAATTGGCTTCAACAGTTAAAAGATCAACAGAAACATGTCTGATTGGCTATTTGAAAACATCCAACACAAGTCTGTTTTAAAGTCTCAGAAAGTACTGATTTAGTGAGGAATGCATTAATCCTTGAATACAAAGCTGGCTGGGAGTCTTTATACATGCTTAAACTGTAAGATATTTACCTAAAATTTAAAATTCTCACTTCATTTTCTCACCCTTGTGTCATTGCAAATCTGTTTGATTTTCTTCTTGTGTACATCAAATAAGATGTTTTGAAAAATGTCTCAGTGTTTGTTTTTGTCCATATATTGGAAGTCAACAAAGTAAACACTGCTTAAAAAACATTATTTTGAGTTCTGCAGGGAAACAAAATGAATCATGATTCTTTGGAATGACCAATTTTGGTTTTACATCTATTCACATATTACGTATCACATTTACGTATCATAATTACATATTTCCTGTATGTAATTACATAAAAATACACATAAAACACATAAAAAATACATATAAAGCAAAAGTTTGTAAATACATATTACTTCTCTGATGTAATTACAACATTAAAACAATGTATTTACAATGTAACAACAATGTAGTAACAATGTAAATACAATGCTCTGACAATGTAATTACAAAGTAAATATAATGCAATGACAATATTATTACATCCAAAACAAAAGATTGTAATTACATATGTATTGTGTATATTTATAAATGTATTTAATAATGTATTTTAATAATGTATAATAATGTGTTTATAAATATACAAATACTGTACACGCAATATACAAAGAAACATTTAAGTTTATAAATATTATCTTTGATGTAATAACAATGTAACAACACAGTAATTGCACACAAGATAAGTTTGTAATTACATATGTACTGTGTATATTTACATATAAATACACAAATACTGTACTTGATATCAACAAAGAAACATAAGTTTGTAAATTTTATCTTATAATGTAACAACATAGTAATTACATTCAAGATAAGTTTGTCATCACATATTAAATGTATATAACTATAACACACAAATACTGTACATGAAATATACAAAAACACATTTCAAATACTACCATAGCTGTAATTACAATGTAATAACAATCTAGCTACAATGTTATATCAATGGAATTACAGTGTAATACCAATGTTATAACAATGTAACTTTGATGTTATTACATGTCTATTACAATGTTATTACCATAATTACACGGTAATTACTATGCTATTACATTGACAGAACAATGTTATTACATTATTTCATATTAATTATAATGTAATGACAATGTAATTACATCCAGAAAAGACACTACTTACATATTTACTGTTTATATTTTCGTATAAATACATGAATTCTGTATATGCAATATACAAAAGAAATATGTAAGTTTAGAAATATTATTTTGGATGTAATTAAAATGTAACAATGTAGTAATTAAGGTTCTAATTACACGTGTACTGTGTAGTTACATATACAACTATAAATAACTAAAAATCTACATGCAAATTAATAAGATAGTTACATTTATAATTATTATCATGGATGTGACTGCTATGTAATTACAATGTAACGACACAGTAATTGCACACAAGAAACATTTAAGTTAATAAATATTATCTTGGATGTAGTTACAATATATCAACATAGTAATTAAGTTTCTAATTACGTGTTCTGTGTATATGTATGTATACAACTACAAATAACCAAGTACTTTACATGCAATATACAAAGAAAGATTTACATTTATAAATATCACCTTGGATGTAACAATGTAACTACAACACTTTCTAATACTACCATAGGTGGAATTACAATGATATAACAATGTATTACAAAGCTATTATAAGGTTATTTCTATGTTATTACACAGTAAGTAAAATGTCATTACATAGTAATTGCAATGTTGTTACAGTGCTGTAACGATGTAATTACAATGTTGTTACAAAGTATTTATAATGTAATGACAATGTCATTACATTCTGAATAAAAGACTAATTACATATGTACTGTATATATTCACCTATAAATACACAAATACTGTACATGCAATATACAAAGAAACATTTGTTAATAAATATTATTTTGTTGTATTTACAATGTAATTACAATGTTACTACATAGTAATTACATTGTTAATACATAGTAATGCTTATTACATTGTACTTACAATGTTATTACATTGCTTTTAACAATGTAATTACAATTTTATTACATAGTAAATATTATAAATACTATCTTCCAATGTAACAACATAGTAATTACATCCAAGATAAGTTTGTAATCACATATTAAGTGTACAGTGTATATAACTAACACAAATACTGTACATGAAATATACAAAAACACATTTCCAATACTACCATAGTTGTAATTCCAATGTTACAACAATATAATAACAATATAGCTACAAACTCTATTACTATGTTTTACATAGTAATTAAAACGTAATTACACATTACATCAGAATAAAAGATTGTAATTACATGTGTACTGTGTATATTTACGTATAAATACATAAGTACTGTACATGCAATATAAAAAGAACCATTTAAGTTTATAAATATGATCTTGGATGTAATTACAATGCAACGACGTAGTAATTAAGTTTCTAATTACGTGTTCTGTGTATATTAAGTAAACAACTACAAATAACCAAGTACTATACATGCAATATGAAAAGAAAGATTTTCATTTATGAATATCACCTTGGATGTAACAATGTAATTACAACACTTTCTAATACTACCATAGGCAGATCTACAATATCTATTACAAGGTTCTTACTAAGTCATTACAGAGTAAGTACAATGTTATTACATAGTAATTATAATGTTTTTTACAGTGCTTTAACTATGTAATTACAATGATGTTACACAGAATTTATACTGTACAGAAAATGTAATTACACCCTGAATAAAAGACTAATTACATATGTACTGTGTATATTTACATATAAATTCACAAATACTGTACATGCAATATACACAGAAACATTTTAAATATTATTTTTGGATGTTATTACAATGTTATTACATAGTAGTTACAAAGTTATACAATAGTAATTATGTTATTAAATAACATTGCTGTTATTACATTGCTTTAACAATGTAATTACAATTTTATTACATAGTAAATATAAATATTATCTTACAATGTAACGATATTGTAATTACATCCAAGATAAGTTTGTAATCACATATTTAGTGTACAGTGTATATAACTAACACAAATACTGTACATGAAATATACAAAAACATTTCCAATACTACCATAGTTGCAACTACAATGTTATAACAATGTAATAGCAATATAGCTACAAATTTTATTACTATGTTTTACATAGTTAATAAATGTTAGTAAATGTCGGCGTCGCTGACGTGCACCTCTCAAAAAATGTAACTACACGTCACAACAACGCGTAGCGCAAGCTCTGTGATTGGTCGCCTTGGTGGCACTGACGAGTCAGGGCGGGACCGAGAGCCGCACGCGGCGTGCGCCCGCTGGAGCGATTGTTTACATGTATGAAGTCCCGTGAAGGAGCTCCGGATGAAGTGTTAATGCAGACCAACAGAGACAGCGCGCAGAAGTATAAATATACAGCTACGCAGAAGTATAAACCAGGCTTAAGAGCCCCGTTAAGTGCACCGAAATGTGCATTTTTATTTAATGTTTGATATAATCCAACTGAAATATGAAGAGAGGGTGGGACATAGTGTAGCTCCTCCCCTTTTTTAAAAAACTGCCAGAGATTAAAAAAACCTTTGATTGGTGTGACAGACTAAGGAGACATCCAAAACATGCAGTGTTGGTGGGCCTCCAAGAACATGGTTGAGAAACACTGCATTAGAGAGCTTTTGATTACAATTTGGTGAGAAACTGAACTATGAGGTGATGTGAATAAAACCGCTGATCCATTTAGGCAGAGGTGACAAACTACAAGCTTTACATGTTTATATCAGATTTTTATCTTCTAAACATGAATGTTGTCACTGTTATAGAGCACATTAGCTTATAGATATCCTAAAAACGAACAATGCGAATAATGCTTTATTTTAATTTCATGGGACCTTTAAGGATCCATATAAAGTATATACCACAATAATGAGAGCACCAAACCTGATCCAGGTCCTGGAGAATATGGATTCATGCTTCTTCTCATCATTTGTTGTGGTGTTTCTGCTTGACTGGCTCCAGCAGGGGTGGATGCAGACCCAGCTAACCCTTTCTCTGGAGGTCCTCCTGGGGCGGTACGGAGAGGTGTGGTTCCCGGAGACATAGGGCCGAGTACTGGGCCTGGAGTAGCCATGGCAATATGCCTCTGCCGTAGCTCTGAAGATAATGAAAGTAAAGCACACATTATACATATAAGAAAAAACAAGAACACAATATCAAGGGTTGCTACAGCGGAATGGACCACCAACTATTCGGGCATTTGTTTCACTAAGCGGATGCCCTTCCAGCTGCAACCCATTACTGAGAAACACCCATACAGTGCTCGATATTAACCTTTTTGCTTGTTAGCACCGGTGCTCCTAACTTAAAAAATATAGGCGCATCAGCCAAAATTTTGTCGCACAAACCAATTACGAACACCGTTACAACAAGTTTTCAACAGATTTATTGCATATGAAATCAACACCAATCAAAATAACAAGCTAAAAAATATATATGCATGCGTGAGGAAAATATGTCTCAACAAAATCCCGCTATCACAACAAAATACATTTTATAACATGACTGAGTGACTAAAAGAAACACGGACTGCACACCAGCCCTGCACGCACTGCTTGACATGAATGAATCTGTTAACAATATAAATGTGCTGTTCTCACGGGTGCTGTCTGATATTGCGCTGTGGCTTTTGACATACACTGTACCTTATTATATGCATACGTCATGTTAATAGCAAAACCGGCCTTTTCAGCGATATTAGTTTACTCAGTGTAAGCCCATTTGCGATGGTGTACGTGGTGTTAAATTTGACATATAGTTGCCACTTGCACGGCGGACAGCATCTGGCGATTAAATGATGGATTAAACAGAACCTCTCATGCTAGATGTGGCAAACAGTTACCGGAAAATTCCATCCCACAGACTTTTCATAGCGGACTTGAAGTCAATTGAAATCTTTTATCCACTCTTCGAAAAAGTGTAGATGGCTGAGTAACATTCAGCACATGATCACTACTAAGATGTGTCATTATTTGTAACTTTAGATGGTTTCTGAAACAAAATCTGTCCGTGTTATTTTTATTCTCAACTTCGGCGCTGTACATTTTCGCGGTTGTAGCTCTCGCTGTCATCCCAAGCCAGAAGGCATTGACTGAGTGATTGACAGCTGATAATAACCAATCCATTCGCGGTCAGTTCTAGACCTGTGGGCCAATAAAAAGAGCGCTCAGGCAGGGCAAGCATTGCAGGCTTTGTTTGCTGCAGCAAGTTGACATGACAAACGTGTTTTAAATGATTCCTGAGCACTGCATTTCGTGTTTCAAGTGCAAAGATTCAATCTGCGTGAAAGTCTCCTAAATCAGAGCATGTGGTTAACATTTTGCAGTAAAAACTGGTTGCACACAACAAATTTATGCACTCGCACAAATGCTCCCAAATATATTTTAAGGTCGCATAGATAAAATTTTGGATGCATATGCGACCAAAATGGTCGCAATTTCAAGCCCTGCCATACCCTCTGTCATACACACACTGATACACTACAGCCAATCTAGTTCATCCGATTCACCTATAGCGCATGTTTTTGGACTGTGGGGGAAACCAGAGCAACTGTAAGAAACCTACGCGAACACAGGGAGAACATGCAAACTCCACACAGAAATGCAAACTGGCCCAGCCAGGACTTGAACCAGCAAACTTCTTGGTGTAAGGCGATTAGGGCTAACCACTGAGCCACCACAAACACAATCCAATAAAATAAAAAACAAACAAACCTTGTCCTGGTCTAGGGGTCATGTGGGGTCTGACTGGAGTGGCTTCTGCTTCCTGTAAAGACAAATCATACATTAATCTTAAATACATAGTAGCTTCAAATACGAGTCCATTCATCTGTCGCTTATGCAACATCACTGGGACTTACTGCTTTCTTTTTAGACTCAGGATCAAATCTCTCCAGTATGAGCTTAGCATTTTTGTAGGTCTCCGTTTCCATCACCTCCTCAAGCTGGCAAAAGGAGAATTTAAGTGTAAATATGTGATCCTCGACCACAAAAGCAGTCATAAGTGTAATTTATTTATATTTTAATGCCGTATCAGCAGCATTGGCTAGATGCATGGCACATCCTATACTAATTATACAATATATAACATGCAATTGGTTTCTTAATAAAGAAATAAAGAAAAAAAAACATACAAATAACAACACTGAGAAGTCTTACACAACCTTTCAGTACGATTAGTGATAAATATTCTAAAATAGCTCCAGACGACACCTTTTAAAAAACCTTTTAAAACATTTCATAAGTGTAATTCTTTTCAAACTGAGATTGAGATTTAGACATCATTTATACACCATCTAAAATTCACAATGATGCTTGGTTTGTTAGTGTAGTGTGCAAATTTTCAGGAAATCAGTCGGGCAAATAATTGACTGGTTTTATTTGTTTATCCAAATAAAAATGTACTGAATGTTCATGCAGTATAACAATTAACTCCTTTCAAAAAACTGTTGGTCCGTCTTTCTTGCTTTCTCTTTCGTATCGCTACTGCATCGTAATATAAAACTTAAAAAATTTCTAATATAGGCAGAGCAAACCATCTCAAACTAAGAGGGCGAGGGAGGGGCTCAGCAAATGTACACAACTAAACATATCAACATGTGTAAACTCTTTATGTATTTTAGCACTATGAATAAATTATAATCAAATTATATTTCTTACAGTTAGTATAGGACAATATTTGGCTGAGATGTAATAACTTTTTTAAAAAACTGGATCAGAAGATAAAAAAAAAAAAAAACTTCAGAATATTTACAAAATCGGCTTTTAGTTGTCTAAATAAAGTGCTTAGCAACTCACATTAATAATCCAAAAAAGTGAGTTTGATGTATAGTCAAATTTAGAAGTGGATCATGACCTTGGCTAAACCTTGGCTCTAAGGGTCAAACAACAAAAAATAAGTTCAAGAATCTTGGTGTTACTCTGGAGTCAGATCTGAGTTTCAGTAGTCATGTCAAAGCAGTTAGGAAATCAGCATACTATCATCTTAAAAACATTGAAAGAATTACATGCTTTGTTTCCAGTGAAGACTTAGAGAAACTTGTTCATGCTTTTATCAGCAGCAGGGTGGATTACTGTGATGGCCTTCTCACTGGCCTTCATTAAAAAAACAGTCAGACAAGTGCAGCTCATCCAGAATGCTGGACCAGGATTCTGGCCAGAACCGAAAAAATCAGAGCACATCACACTTGTCCTCAGGTCTTTACACTGGCTCCCAGTTACATTCAGAATAGACTTTAAAGTATTAGTGGCCTAGGACCTCAATACATTACAGATATGCTGACTGAATACAAACATAACAGATCACTCAGATCTTTAGGATCATATAAACTAGAAGTTCCAAGAGTTCAGTCAAAGCATGGTGAATCGGCCTTCAGCTACTACACCCCTCGCATCTGGAATCAGCTTCCAGAAATGATCAGATGTGCTCCAGCATTAGGCACATTTAAATCAAGACAGAAAACACATCTGTTTAGCTGTGCCTTTACTGACTGAGCACTGTGCTACGTCCGACAGATCACACTATTATGTCTTTATTTTCTTTTTCATTCTTTTAAAAACTGTTGTAACACATTTTAATCTGTAATTAAAATTTGTAATTTAATTTAATTTTTTAATCATTTTTATTATTTTTTTAATACTTGTCTTTTTTAACCTTGTTCATGTAAAGCACTTTGAATTGCCACTTTGTATGAAATGTGCTATATAAATAAACTTGCCTTGCCTTTCATCAAAGTTGTCCTAAAACTATTCAACACCCATTCTTCTCTTAGGACAATTTTGGAAAACTTCTTTGATCCACTTCAAATGTTGACTACTGTAGTTACAGCGGAATATTTACAGCATAGCTTCATGGAACATGATCTTTATTAAATATTTTAATGAATTATGCCTTTTATGCCTTTATGCCTTTTAAAAAAAGTCTATATTTTGACTATTCCCAAAAATATACCCGTGCACACGTATCAGACTGTTTTTGTGGTCTAGGGCAGTGGTTCTCAAAGTGGGGGTCGGGACCCCCCGAGGGGTCGCGGGGCAATGAAGGGGGGGGGGGTCGCCTGGTGATTTTTTCAAAAATCTATTTATTTTTATTAAACCATAAGAATTAACATGTTTTATCCATAACTATACTGAAAATAAAAATAGTAGTTTATAGTTACTATATACTATATAGTTACTATAGTAGCTTATAGTTACTAGTTCTATTGGATTGCAACCCCTGGGGTAATTACAGTATATTAAAGGCAGCAATAGCGTCAGATGCATTTTGATTTTATAACATCAGGTTATATTTTCTAGCACATTTAAAGCACTGACACGAATTTAATTCGTGTGTCTGCGTCATTGCATGCAAGGTTTCTGTATTTATAACCACCTCAGAGGATATTGGGGGTCGCGAGTCACTGGCATTGTTATTTTGGGAGTCGCGGGCTGAAAAGTTTGGGAACCCCTGGTCTAGGGTCACATATGAGTACCCACAAACAAGCTTAAATCTTTAAACAACATATTTGAGTCAAATCACTTACTATTTTCCGTTTTTGCGTTTTTAAATCTTCCAATTTGTCATCTGAAACAGGAAAAATCATGAATCAGTAAACCTATAATCATATTTAATCAAAATATGAGTAAGACGATACATTATCATTTTTTTAATCATACACATTAATAAACACATCCTAAGTAATAAAGACAGACACAGCTACAGCTGACAATAAAGACATGTAACAAGAAAATAAAACAATTATGAGCTTACTGTTTCTCTCTGTGCGTTTGGAGAACAGGAAAATGAGCACTTTTCGTAGTAGTAAAACTCTATAAATAGAGGGAGAAAACATTACTCCGATTAATAATTATGAACATCAACTCCGCTAAGCCAGGGTGTGTATATCTGTACAATGTGTAAGTAACAGCTACTGTAAAACATAACTGCACTAACAGCATAAATACAAAAAGCATGCTTACTACAAAGTCCTAATCCAGTACTAGTGTGCTTGTGACTCACAGTGCAGGAAAGGCCAGCAGAGGCAGGGCAGTGATGAGCCGAGCGCCCCACTGCTGGGGGAAGTACAGGTAATAAACACACAGACATGTCAGCAGGTACAGAGCAGATGAGTAGAAGAGAAGCCGGCCGACCCATAACTTCAGCAAACGCTGGTTCTTTGCACGAAACTCCTCCAGATCCTTTATGTCCTGTGAATGCAGGTGATAATGTCATATTGTAAGATTCTAAGCAATGCCGTTAGTTAAAAGCAGGAAAAATGCTTAGTAAAGAAACCTAACTTTCTTCAGATTTGAACATTATTTGATTTAAAGGGACCTATTATTAAAAAAAATCACATTTAAAAGGGGGTTACACACAATTGTGTGGCAACAGTCTGCGATTATAACCAGTTTCTAGTAGTAAAAATGTTTTAATTTTATTTTTTTAAATCACACTTTATAAAAAGCGTCTGCAGAAACACTTTGATTGACATTCTCCCTTTGTACATGTCATCAGCCGAGGAAAGCCCCGCCCATTGATGACATCTCTCCCTCATTAGCACAGGAAGCTAATTTTATTTTTGAATCTGCCACTATGCTGACAAACATGCATGTGTAGCTACGCCCCTTTTGAAACTCATTTAAATTGAAAGCGACAGTCGCCAAAATGGCACAATTAGGAGCGAAGCCTAAAAGTGCCAGTTTCAAATAGTTATGAGCTGAAACCTCACATACACACTCTAGGGACATTAGAAAGTCATTTTACATCTGGTAAAAGTAAAAATGGGCATAATAAATCTCCCTTTAAAACATGCGTTATTTGATTAAAAAGACTCTTTTTTTTTTAGAATGAAAAACACCTTTTGGTGTAATAAAAGTCTAAAACAAATAAGATCTTCAATGATTTTATGTTTTGCATAAAGGAAACATAAAAGTAAGTTTTATTTTGTAATTAAAACTTCAAGACTGAACTGAAACTCTTAGATTATCCATGCATCTTTTAGAAAAAGCATATTAAAATGCATGCATGACATCTCACAATCACTATTTTATTTAATTATATGTTGGAAATACAGACCTTGTTGCACAATTTTTTAAAGACAGAATAACAACTGTTGTTTAAAAGTTTAATTTTGTGTAATTATTTTGCTCTATTGTTGTAAAAATCTCATTGTATACAATGAGAATGATATATTTAGCCATAAACATTTAAATGGCACCAATGATTAAAAATCAACTTTTGTAAGCTGTTGGACAGACCTGTGTGTAGGTATAGTGTGTCCACTGCCATTTTGGAGAGATATAAACCCAACAAGTCTCTTTTTTTTATTTTTTATTTCCTGAAATTAAAATAGGACCCAAATGCCAGAGATTTTTTGGTCCACCACAATGTGATGTAGGAGTGCGGTTTTCCCCACCCACTGAATTAATTGACAGGCGCCATGTTTTTATAATAACACATATACACATGTCCACAAAACATTTAGCAAAGAAACTAGAATTAAAACAGTTGTTACAACTCTCTGTGATTTTTATAAGTTGTATAAGCTTAAAACATTTTTAAAACAGAGCATGTTTGTAAAAATGACAGAACAATCACTATGTAATTCTTAACTGCTATAATCACCATGGCCACATAGTGTTAGTAAACGCTAATATGTCTGTGTGTGCGTGTGTAATGCAAACGGCATTTGTCGTTTCAGAAAGGCTTGAATAAACTCAACCACAAATACATCAATTAACTGACTTGGTATTTTTGACTATTAAGCTTTCAGATTTCAGCTTCATCCGAGTCGGTCTCTATCACTGACTGCTGTTTATCTGATGTAATGCATAAGAAGCAGACACACAAGTGGGAACAGTGGGCGGGGAGAAGCAGCTCATTTGGATTTAAATCTACAGTCTACAAAAACAGCTACACT